AAACTCGTAAGCATCAACCGGGAAACTCTCAGCAGGAAGAGCACAGGGCAGGAAAGAAGTCAAAGGCGAAAGACCCAAAGCCAAATCAAAAGAACACGACCGATACTGATTCAACGGATTGCTCAGAGCGAAGGACTTTATGACATATATCATCCCAACCGAGAGATTACGACGAATCCCAGCAGCCATCGAAGTTGGCGAAACACCCTGAATCAGCATACCCTGCGTAGACCATGCCATTCCGGCTCGTGAACAAAGCAAAGCGGCGAGAACAAATCAGAGCACAGAAGAGAAAGCGAGAAGGGCAAGAAACTAACCGTTTCGTCGGTCCAAAGAGTGCAGTAATTGTAGATCCTGTTGTCCCCCGGAGACTTCGACGGCCACACATGCAGCAAGCAGAGACGCAAAGAAATCCCGGCATTGCGCGGGCCGCCGAGGTTACAAAGCAATGTGAATTCCATGTTCTTGGAGACGGAGAGAACCGAAGAGGGTGGGAACGTTTTTTTTTTATTTAGAAACAGACCAGAACGACAGAGAAGAAGTTTCGGCGCCACAGGAGAGCATAAAAAAGAGGGACAGGAAAAGTAGCTTAAAGGGCGGTGCATGTCAGTTTATGGTCCAATAACGAACGGAAACGTAAGGTAGGGCAAATAGCACCCTCGCAAAGAGATAAGGACGGGGGGAAATAAGAAACCGCCAGGGATAGGAAGTATAAAAAGAAGCGGAGAATTTTGAGGCGCCGAAGCGGCGGGTGTCAGATACCAGGCCAAACGCAAAGAGTTACGCACTCCCCGAGGCCCAAATGAATGAGAATGTGCAGAAAGAAGAAGCGGCCATCATTGGCCGTAATTCAGAAAAGCAAGAACAAATATACACGGCAAGAGAGAAAAGCAATGAATGACGCATAGAATGACCGGTGTAATCATTATAAGAATGTATAATTCTCGGTGAGGATGCTCGAAGGAAATAGAAAGCGAAGGGAGGATGAACGTGAAGCTGAGGGCAACGCGGCACACAAAGCAACAACGGCGGGACCCAGACGCAGGAAGCCAACCAATCAGCAAAGGCGGCTGGTCCCAATCGCAAAGGACGCACCAATGGGAGGAGGGTGAACAGTCACTACGGGAAAAATGGCCTCTTGCAACTCTAAAAATGTGTTGCGTAAAGTCGTAAAATAGTTGCAACATCCAAACGCAACACTTTTACTAGGGTTGCATATAGTGGGGGTTGCAAAAAGAATAAGCAACAGTTTTTTTATTTTTCGCAACCAAAATAAAAAGGGTTGTGTATTCTTACCTCTTTTGCAACACTACTTTAGGCAACATATTTTGAACATTTCGCAACACATTATACGAGCATAGACAACATTTTTTACAATGTTTTGCAACATTGAATTTTTGTATCCGTGACGAGTTCAAATTGTCACGAATGGCTAACCCAGTTGTGATAACTTTGTTTGTAACAAATACTAGTATTTGTGTGATAATATTTTCGTCAATTAAAATCATTTTTATGACGAGTTAGTTTTGACATGGAAACAATAACGGTGACATGTTGGATTGTCACAAATAACTTATATTTGTGACCATAGTTGTGTCACAAATAAGCTGTTTTGAACATTTGTTACAATTTAGGAAAAAGATTGTTGCCACTAAAGTAATTATCGATGACAATTATGATTCTCACATATACAACACTATTTGTGACCAATCATAGTAAATTATTTTATAATATAATCAAATTCCCAAAATAATAGATAACATTTCTTTAAACTACAATCTTCTAGCTAACAAAACTTTCTTATTTGAGAACAATAATGGGTACATTTAATATGCTATGCTCTTATCATTCCTCTAACTTGTAGAATCTTTCCGCACGATATAGTGATCACATATCTACGAGATGCTTTGCTTGAAGATCAACTTATATACACGTTCTTCTCACTTCTTGCTTTTCTTTTTCAAGTTTCATCAATATGAAACACATGAACTTTAGGCTCCTCATGCTCTTGAATTTTTCTATATACAAAGAAGCTCAAGAGTATCAGATATGTAAGGAACATATTTGCTCATCCATAGCTTCTCAAACTCATCTCAACTGAGGAGGTCTTCTTATTATAAGAACACAAAAACTAATCAAGAGCCTTTCTATTACATTCCTCTAATTTGGTTATGATAATCCCCTCTGTAATGACTAGGTCTTGGATCAGAAGATTACTTTGTAAAAACTAATTGCAGCTATCATTAAATATGTTGAACTCTATTGCTATTGGGAAATCCTAATCTGAGCTAGCTAGAAAATTACATAAAAATGAAGAAAAGTAGAAGAACAGGACAAGCAAACGCAATATTAAGTATTACCACCAAACAAAAGCATAACAAACTAGCAAGATACGTAACTTTTGGAGACTCTAAATCAGTTTCAGAAGATTGTTCGAAGGAAAATTCATTTCATTACTTACTTAGGCGTCATCTGTGTCCTATCCGGACTATAGTCATCATCACGAGACTTGATCATCTGTATCTATTTGTTACTCTTCTTATGTATGCGTCGTAACTAGTGGTCATCATGTCAAGAACCAGTTGATCCCAATAACCCGAGTTGTTGGGAGAAGGTTATGTTGGGTCTTATACCATTCTCTAACACGCCCCCTCAAACGAAAACCAACCCATGGGCTTGAAGTTTGCACAGGCCCACCATACCATGTGCTTGAAAGACAACGGTTAATATTGGGGGTCGTGGAGATTCGAACATATGACCTTTCAGTTCTAGGCTCTGATACCATGTCATAAACCAGTTGATCCCAATAACTCGAGTTGTTGGGAGAAGGTTATGTTGGGTCTTATACCATTCTCTAACATATCATAGCTATAAAAGCTCAACACCGAAATATTATAGATCTTAAAATACTTAAACGTTTAAAAATAAGAGAAAAGAAAACTGTTAAGCATCATATATGTATATACGTACTCCAGCAGGCAGCAGTCACACAAGAGGAGAGAGAGGTTGCATCCCATTAGTTTGAGGAGAGCCCTCAGAGATTGCTAGGCGCCTTGCAAAAGAGAAGTGGTTAGTACTTAGAGGCTTATTGGGGTTTCGTGATGGTGGTGGATTATAAGAAAGATTTTTGTATAATATGAGATAAGGAAACAAATTAATTAGCTAATTAAGAGAGGAGGAAAAAGAAATCACGGAAGATCTTTTCTGCTCCCCAGTAATTTGTTTCCTTGTTACCCAATATTTGGTTTTATCACTTTTTAATTTACTTTATAATATACTTTAAACGAGCATTTGACATTTTTTGCAACACAAGTTAAAAAAATGTTGCATAAACTATACAATCCGGCACCATAAAATTTTTTTTTTTTTTTCGTTGAATGATATAAAAATTTATTTGTGATATATGTGTTTTGCTATATTAGAATAAACGCAACATTTAATTAATTTGAGTTGCGTAAACTACTCAATACGCAACCCCATAAAAATGTGTTGGTGTTATATATTTAACGCAACAGTTTCAAATAGTGTTGCAACCCGGGTGTTGCAAGAGGTGCTTTTTCCCGTAGTGAGTAATTTTGAGTCTAAATGAACAGGAATTTCGTGTCTAGGCGTACAGTAACTTGTCTTTGTAAATAACTTTTTCTAATAGAATGACGACTTTGAATTCGATGGGAATGGATCAGGTCAGTAACCTTATGGTGAGTAATCATGAGTAACCCGTCCACATCAGCATGACATCAGCATCCTCTCTCTCATGGAAAGCCTTTAATTTTTCCCTTTTTAATCTTTGGCGGACGATTTCTCGCTCATTTTAAGTCGAAATTTAATTTTTTTTGCACAGTTAGATAAGATTAATTGTGCTCTTCAAAATGATATCCACTTTAATATATTTTTCGAACAAAAAAATTGAGCCATTTTTTAACAGCCTATACCATATGGTATTGACTGGTATTGAAATAAAAGCATACCTATGTTTTGAAAAACGTACCATGGTGGTATGAACAAACCAATACTGTAGGATGGTTGAATACATGATAGTAGAAGTATATTAATTGTAATTTACGACTTTTAACATTGTATACCACACAATACCACCCTGGTACGGGGTGGTATTGTATGGTATTGTGTGGTATTTTTTGGTCCTGTAATTGTTCACCCAGAAATTTGTAGATCCAATAGATCATGATGAACTCGTCCCTTCTGTGCAAACATTTTCAAAAACGAATTAAAAACGAAGAAAATACCATACAATACCACCCCGTACCAGGGTGGTATTGTATGGTATTGTGTGGTATTTTTTGGTCCTGTAATTTGTTCACCCAGAAATTTGTAGATCTAGTAGATCATGATGAACTCATCCCTGCTGTGCAAACGTTTTCAAAAACGAATTAAAAACGAAGAAGATACCATATGGTATGCAGTTGGTACCGAGAGGCCAGAATTTTTTTTCCTAAAAAAATATTGAAAATTGATCTCATTTTGTAGAGCACGGTGAACTCGTTCCATCTGTGCAAAAAAAATTAAAATCCGAGTTAAAACGAAAAAGATATGAGTCAATTAAGAAAGCTAGTGAAAATAAAAATAGCCTTTAATTCTCCATCTTTAGATCTGGATTTTCTAAATGAAGGGTCCAGATTTGGTTATTGATGGGTACATAACTCATGGTTATGCACCCTATCTTGAGCCGAATTCTATGATTGCAAATCCAATCCTTCATCCGGTCAACCCATCAATCTAACTCAATACTCTCCTCTTCTGTCCAGCGGTCTTTATTTAATTACATTGCTAATTAGTAAGAGCTAATTAATTGCCCCTATATCCTCTCTTTTTTTTTTTTTTTGGGGTCCTATTTTTATTGTTAAGCTTAAAAATGGTAAAACAGAATTTATTGTATAGTTAAACACATTGATTAAGCATAAGCCACCCGAGATTTACTGCTTCCTCACAGCCGTAAAATTTGTGAATTCAAAAAAACAACAAATATCTGCCTGAAAAAGAACAATTTAACAGAAAACCCCCCAACACAACAACATGAATCCCTAAATTCTCTTTCCTCCATTGTTGTTGTTCTCCGTCCGAAGCTTTCACCCATCCATGGCGTCCGTACCCGTTTCCCCTTCCCTTCCCTCCTTCCTCTTCTTCTTCTTCCTCTTGCTCAGCCCTGCACTTTCTCAGCAACAAGCATCCAAGTCCAGAAAAGAGCGAGCAGGATCAGGAGAAACCGGAAGCGGAAGCGGAGGAGGCGGAGAATCATCATCGGCGGCGGCGGTGGTTCCACAACTCAATTGCTCCGGCCGTTGGATCCACATCCGGCGTCTCCCGGCGAGGTTCAACCTCGATCTCCTCACAAATTGCTCCGAGTACGACCTCTTCTACGATTTCTGCCCTTACCTCTCCAATCACGGCCTCGGACCCAAGACCCACAACCGATCCCACTCATGGTACCGCACCGACCCTTTCCTCCTCGAGCTCACATTCCACCGCCGGATGCTCGAATACCCGTGTTTAACCCAAGATCCCGGCCAGGCCGCCGCCGTCTACCTCCCGTACTACGCCGCCATCGATTCCCTCCGCTACCTCTACGGGCCGGAGGTGAACAACAGCATGGATCACGGCCTGGAGCTCTTCGAGTTCCTGCAGGAAAACGACGGGTGGATTTGGGGGCGGAATTCCGGGTTGGATCATTTCCTGGTTCTCGCCCGACCCGCCTGGGACTTCTCCCAGCCTCCAGATCTCGACCCGCCAATTTGGGGGACTTCGTTCTTGGAGCTGCCGGAATTCTACAATCTCACGGCGCTTGTCGTCGAAGAGAGGTTATGGCCGTGGCAGGAGCAAGCCGTGCCCTATCTGACGTCGTTTCACCCCCCGAGTGGCGAGCTCCTCGATTCATGGATCAATCGCGTCGAGGCGTCCCGAAGAACTACATTAATGCTGTTCGCCGGCGGCGGAGGTGTCTCCGCGCAGGCCAACATCCGGCGGAGCATAAGGAATGAGTGCGAGAACACCAGCGATACGTTTGAGAGCAATGGCGGGTGGTACTATTACTCCAAAGTATGTGACATTGTCGATTGCGCCAATGGGAAATGCGAGCATGACCCGATTCTGTACATGAGGCCGATGTTGCAGTCCACATTCTGCTTGCAGCCTCCCGGAGACACTCCAACGAGGAGGTCCACGTTCGATGCCATCATCGCCGGGTGCATACCGGTATTCTTTGAGGATCAATCGGCGAGGACGCAGTACAGGTGGCACTTGCCGGAGGAAGCTTATGGGGAGTTTGCTGTCCACATTCAGAAGGAAGATGTTGTTTACAAAGGACTGAAGATTTTGGATGTCCTGATGGGGATTTCGCGGGCGCGAGTTCGGAGGATGAGGCAGAAGGTCATTGAATTGATTCCAAGAGTTGTTTACAGGAAGCATGGAAGTAGTTCTTCAAAGGGGTGGAAAGGGCAGAAGGATGCTTTTGACATCGCCATTGACGGAGCTCTGGAGAAGATCAGGTCCAGGGTGAAAGGTGAAGTAGAAATAGGAGACCTTTCTTCTGTGTGAGAGCTCCATTGCTTTTCCAGACTGTTGTTGTAACATTATTAGCACTTGGTCTTCTTTATTTGTCTTCGTTTTTTGAATGGATGAATTTTTGAGGAAGAAAGCTAGGGTTAGTAGAGAACTTTGAGCTTGTATCGCAATTCGCAAGTATTGTAAAGAGTTTCAGATTTTGGACAGGAAAGAATGAAACTTTATTTTGGGGATACCAAAAATTGAAAAGGGTTACACAGAAGGGAAGCAACAAGTTTGTTTCTAGTACATATGGGACACAAAAGGTAAGAAAATAATTAAACAAACTGGATGTTACAAGGAATTCTGTTCTAATTTGATGTCTCTCCCTCATTTTAGAGACATTGGTGAAAAAAGAAGGCAAATGTAAGAAAGATTTCAATTTTCAGCCCCATCTAATGATAGCAGAGCCCCAAGTTAGACCAGCACCGAAACCAGCAGCAGCAATTGTATGACCTGGCTTCACTTTCCCACTTCGAACGGCTTCATCTAATGCCAAGGGAATGGAAGCTGCACTCGTGTTGCCATAACTTGCCAGATTCGAAATCACCCTGTCAGAAGGAAGCTTCAGACGGTCTGCAACCGAATCTATGATCCTCTTGTTCGCCTGCAAAAAAAGGCACTTTCTTTATAGTATGAATATCACCTTACAGTTTTATCGATGATCCATACCGAAATGGATTCATGTTACCTGGTGGAGTAGCAACCAATCAATGTCAGCTGGAGTTAGACCAGCCTTTTGGAGAGAAGACTCGATAGTCTCTGGTACACACTGCACGGCAAAGCGATAAACTTCTTTACCGTTCATATTAATGCATGAATAAGAGGAGCGTCTTGGAGGGAAGTCGACGACTGATCCATTAGAACCGAGTGCATGATCCACTTCACTCTGCTTTATTGATGCATTCAAATGTCTGCATGATGGGACGAACTGGTGAATTTCTGGCTCGAGGACAAACCCTAATCTAATCATAATCACATACCTCTGGCCATCACCGTCACTATGCAAGTCGAAGCTGAATAAACCGTCATCCTCACCGTCACAGGCCTGCAGAGTAGAATAAATTCCAAAAAATTCGGTTAAGAGAAGAAGGGGTCCTTGATGCAACATTGTCAAGGGCTCAGGCCCATGTTTTCCATAATACATGATATCATTAGGTTTACCCAAAGATTTCAAGAATACAACATTTCGTCGAGTCCACCATTACACATTCTTACAATCCCGTTACAAAATACCTGATTTCTTAAGATTCGTGTATTATTTATACATGGTTACCAAATGACTCCTTAAAAGAATTTTGAGCTTTCAATGTAAAACCATGAATTATATACCTGTACCAATACCGCGCCAGCAGCATCACCAAAGAGAATACAAGTTCCTCTATCAGTCCAGTCGACATATCGAGAGAGGGAGTCAGCACCAATTACCAAGACATTTTTAAATCCACCTCCTGCAATGATTCAATAGAGATACAGTTATTTAAACAGGATTGAGTGGGAGAAATGAGTCTCGAAGGGTAGGCTTAAAGATATGTTACCCCTAATGTGAGCAGAAGCAGAGACTAGCCCCAAAACGAATCCACTGCATGCTGCTGTTATGTCGTATGCCAAAGGGTTTCTTTTGCAGCCAAGCTGCTTTTGGATCTGAGAATCCAAAGAAGAGATAAAATGAGTATAAGATAGGGAGCATCAAAGATTCTCCATAGGAATTTGGGAACAAAAGAACAGGTAATTTTAGAATATATTAAACTGCATCTTTTGAAACCTAACCTCCCCAAAACATTTGTATCCAGCAAATCTTGTCTAAGAGGGAAAAGGTGAGGATACACCCAAAACCAGTCAATTGAAACATGTTTTCTCCTCTCTCTCTCTCTCTCCCCCCCCCCCCCCCCCCCCCCCCCCCCCACTACTTATTTACTTAGAGTTCATATCTGCCAAGCAAAATACAAGCTTTCATATGTCTAACAAACTAAGTTCTCCACTGAGGTATAGGCAGATGTAGATGGAGACAGATAGAACCTGAAAGATAAAAATAAGCATAAAGTTCCTAACACACTGGGAATAGTTTCTACCAAATGATTTCTTTAAGGGAGTAGGTTAAGCAGATATGACACATTCTTTGCACATATGGTCAAGGTTCAGGTTTAGGACATCATATTGCCTACAATCTAGCATTCATGTTATGCTGAAGATAGAACTCGAACTCTACAAGTCAGTTAAGGAAGCTTAGAAAACTTATTGAAGGGGGTTAAATAACAATTTAGACAGACGTCCAAAAAGTCACAAGATTTCGTAAATGCATGCAAAAGATGACCATACTACCAAACAAAGGCTAAATTGTTCAACTTACGAACATAATAATGCTCATTCATAATTCTTAGTCAGAATTTCCTTCACTCAACATACCACACGAGCATGCACATCCTTTGACATATAATTTAGAACTAGTCCTATCGTCCATTGTTCTATTCGTAATTCATAAGCACTCCGGATGTTTAGTCATCGTCATAGAACCTCTACCTGAGGGGCACTACCAAAAAGATCTTCTGGCGTTGATGTGCACAACAAGATCATATCCAGATCATCAGGATCAACCTCTGCCATCTCAAGTGCTTTCCTTGCTGCTTCAGCTGCTAGAGAAGTCAGAGTTTCATTTCCTGTAAAAAATAGAGGAAAGCAGCAATGGTAGTTAGTAATCCTTGTGCAAGATTCTCATTAGCAAAAAAAAAATGCAGGTCAAAAGCAATCATCTGAGCAGTGAAAACCAGAAATCAAATTCCATTGAATATGCAACTTCTAACTTTCGTTGATTCCTGTAAGATGTGAAATTATTGTCGGTGCAAAATAAAGATGCAACGCTTATACTTTACAGCAACAGCAAAAGAAACGTTTCAAACACATCTTTTCTTTCTTCTCTAACATGGCTTAATTCTTGGTATCTCGGTTTCCCTTCTTTAGTTCTCACATACACCTTTTTCTCTCTTTACACGCATTATCATGCTCCACATACAATTAACAAAATGCATAATGAAATCCAAACCTGTAAGGACTCGTCGATTACGGATCCCAGTACGATCAGCTATCCACTTATCATTAGTGTCAACCATTTTGGCGAGTTCGTCATTTGAAATCTGAAGACTTGGAACTGCTGAGCCAGATCCAACAAGTTTGCAACCTTGCATAACTAGTCTGCAGATTAAAGTTCCCGAATTTAATAGCCATAACAATGAACCAACAATTTCCAAAGGCACATCTTGTCTCATTGACCACACAGCATAACATCTATTCATCATACTATCATATCTTAACAGACATCAATAATTCCAATTCTCCAATGCCTACAAAGTAGCACGTCTAGCAGCATAAACCTCTGAAGAAGCTCATCCTGATACCTAGTAGGTGCATTATTATTCCACTATGAATGTAACCTCCTTGTAAACAGCAGAAACTAGGCAGCACAACAGCAAAAGGGAAGTGCTTCCCTTCTGATGACGGTGCGACATCAACTCCAAACTTTGATATATAGTGTAATTTACTGCATTTCTCTTCTAGGATGAGTACACACAGCATCCAAATATGATCCAAACCCGATGCCGGTGATTTCAGACAGAGCATAAAACTGAACCAAGAAAGAGGAAGTAGCCAGATTGACAGTTGCCCTGCATTACGAAGTCATCAATCTATCAACTGAGTTCATTCCGTTTATTCCTGCAGGAAAATCTAAACTGAACGTCTCCCACACCAATAGAAATGTGTCCACAAAGTGTAATCTGCAAATCCTTCCCAACATCATTTTAGCACCAACCATAGCAAAAGTCAACTACCCAGAGCTTACTTACAAATCATGTCATTCATTTTGTGCATGATCCTATTTATCTACATTACCAACCAGAAAGTACATGCCTTCCACCGTCCTAAATTGAAACTACCCATGCAACAATACTCTTGTAGAGTAAATTTCAATTTCATTCAACTGGAAAGCCAAACAACAAACAGTAAGAGAGAGCTGCCGTTCCACCTGGAGAGGCAACTAGAAGTTTGAAGAAGCGAGCAAGAACACTGACCTGGGCATTCGAGATTGAGAAGGGGAAACCTTGTCAGCAGCACCTTCAACAGTGCTGGAGCAAAAAAAACCCTTGGGGATTCCCTTAGTAGAGCAAAACCCAGATCCAATAACCCCTATAGAAGGCTTCAAAGTCCTCCCTAAGCTTGGAACTGAAGGACTCAAGAACCCAGACACATTGGCCATATCACTCTTTCCCCAAACAACTCCCTTGCCCCAAGCCTTGAAAATTTTCGCCAATGCTGTGAAATATAAGCAAAAGAAGGGATCTTTTACACTCTGCTGAAATCAGGGCTGACAAACAAGGCGACAAGTATGTGATTGAAACAAGAAGGCATGGGTTTTGAAGGAAACGGAGGAACACGACAGACAAAGAGAAATAGAGAAGAGTCAAGCGACAGAGAAGAAACAGAGGTTTATTGAGGGAGAGGGGCTGGCTGCTGTACTCTAATTTTCGGCGTGGTGAGCTAATGATCTTTGGAAGCTCCGAAGAATAGAACTGCCCAACGTTTTTACTTTTTATTAAAAGGGAATAGGTGGGGAGTGGGGCGATGGTGGCAACACGATTTTGAGGAAATCCCAAAGTTTCTCTAATAAAATTTTCACTTCCCGGACAACTCTCCCCTCTCGTGAAAATACTTTTCTCACGTCCTCTTTTTCTTATCTGTCGCATTTGGTCCAGTCCTGATCAACCGAACTGCATTTAGCCATTTAACCAAAATGGCCAACCCAAAATTGGTCCAAAGTCCAATCCGATTTCAACCAAGACCGGACAGCATTGGTCTGGTCCGGTTATGAAGTAAAAAACGTGTCTTAAAACATAAAAATGCATGCTTTTGCGTTTCCGACTAGGCAAAATGCTTCAGTTTCTACATAAAAGCGTATTGTGTGTAAAAACGGTCAAAAACGCGTTTCTAATATGTTTTTGTACGTTTCTAGTTAAAAGAGTTCCAACCAATTTCATACCCTCTCTTCCAACAAACCAGCGATTAGAACATCGATCCCTACGATCAAATCAACCTAAAACGAGTCTTAAATCTGTCATCAAAGTTTGAGGACGACCCAATGGTTGGTTTCTCTGGACTCCTCCCTGGAACCAACTGCCCAGCTATAGGAAAACAGGTTGCACCCTATCTCACCAACAACATTTTTGGAAGAACCAGAAATCATAACGATAATCCCAACGGTTGGATCAGATTCCAAAAAGTATGGAACGTGTCCTCAAAATTTAAGGACGATCCAACGGCAGGTTGTATAGTAATCCCCTCTTGAACTCACTGGTTTGCTACAAAACGAAAACTTGGTTGCCACTTAAACCATCCAACTTTTCATTAGTTACAATTAAGCTCTTCAATTTTTAATTCACTGCATTCTTTTAGATTTAAAATGAGTTTAACCATAAGCCAATTAATCAAACACCTTCCTCATGTCGTAGTTAATCAATTCAACGATTGCTTCATTTTTAAAACTCGCTTAAATATTGGGATGATGTCACCTTGATGCGAGCATGACATATGACATATTCAAGGGGGATGAGGATGTTACATCGCAGCTTCATTAAGTGATTACTTATCGTTTGATGTGCGACTTAACTGATTAATATTTACTCATAATTTGTGTTCAATGGATGAAGAACCTCATGCTGGTGGTTTGGATGAGGGTTTCTAATTTCAGACATTTGGCTCTAAATCACTCATTTAAAATACCAAGAAATTCATATGCAGGATTTGTTTAAATTAACTCGTTTGGAAACTAACGAGGGATTTTAATAGAGAAAGCATAAATACAATTTTGACCCAATATGTTCATGGATGAAGAAACCTAGAAATTGTCTTCTTCTTCAACCAACATCAACTTGAATCTTCTTTCATACGTTGGTGATTGATGGTTACGGAGGCGAGGAAAAAGATGAAATGGCGCCGGCGCCGGCGCCGACCTCTGTGAGATGTGGGCAGCAGTAACGACGACCGTAAACCCAAAAACCGATGGTCTAAACCTCACCAATCTTCGGAGACCTCGCAAAACTCTGGCATTTGTCTGGGTTTTGTTAGCCTTTGCCATCGATTCCCAAGCATAACCCAATTGGATCTCCTCCCTGCGTTTGCGACTTGTTGTAGCCCTAAAAAATCCTCATTCCCCTCTTATTCTTATTAGCACTCGACCTCACCATTCTTATCCTCTTTCGTTGCCGTCTTAGGGACGACATCGGCAACAGCGACGTTGAGGGAGAGAGCGCCTGAGAATCCAGAAAGAGGAAGGTGGGAAAAGCATCGCTCGCTGGTCATTGTTGAAGAGAGGATGGCAGAAACTTTGATTACCCATCATCGATGTCGTCACCACTCTTTAGTGATCAGGCTCAAGGAGGAAGATCGATCGTCGCCTTCGTTCTTCTAAAATCACCAGCTCCCTTTAATTGTCACTGTCGTTATTCTAAAATCGCTGATGAATTTGGGTGAGCATGGCTCGTAGTGGGGTTTGGGAAGAGTGGGGGAGGGGTGGGTGACTGGGTGAGGAAATAGGAAGATGACGACTGGGAAGTTGGGTTAGGGATGGATTGGGTTCTTTTGATAATGAAGGACAAAGAACAAAAATAAAATAGATATAAATTTTGAAAAAATTAAAATGAAGTGAGGGGTTTTGAAATAGTTGATGGTCATCGGCTATATTTTAAAACCTGCATTTGAGGAATTTTATAATCTTTCATGTCCACAATCTCTCGTTCTTCCAAACGAGTTATTCTATTAAAATCCTGCAGAATGAGAGATTGTGCACAAATCCCTCACTGAAATCTCTAATCCAAACGACACCATAATAAATGAAACCGTTGTAATTCTGTTTAATATTACGTCCAGATTGAAAGAAAATGGCCAATAACGAAGTGCAACTGTTAATTGGTTATACTTTTTTATGAACGAAGAAGCCTCATTATTTCCTTATTGCATTGTTGGTTTAGTTCTATGTTTGCTCCACTATTAAAAATTTGTCAAATTAGATTATTTGCATGATTAGTGATCTTTCTACATGAGACAAGTAGTTTGTTAAAGATTAATCAGATTATACACAAAAATTTACGTTTTTACACTATGCTTTCATGTTTACATTTTTACTCATGTTTGTGTTTTTGCGTAGAAACGCGCATTTGACTACATTGGTCCGGTGAATAGTAGTCAAATAGAGAACGAAAGAGCGATAAATGGGACGAATGCGAAATCACGAAGCAAACAAGGCCGAAAGGGGAAGGAAGGGACAAAGACAAAACAAGGGAAGAGAGGTGATTCGCAGCGGCAAGGGGATTGTGGGGATTTTGGCATGACTGCTTGCTTTGACCAGTTCCACATCTTTCAACATAGATGACTCGGTCTTTCTCAAACAATTCAGATGTGATATTAAGAAAAGTTCCTCATAATGCTCTAATACTCGCACAATATATGAAACTAACTATCTCGCAACGTTTCAAATCTAGTTCACATATTGCTCTAATAGATGAACAATTCAATCCTTAAAACATATTATAACCCGAGTGAGGATTAGGTGTCGAAGGGATGCTTTTTGGCTACAGTCAAAATTAATTTTATCCATTGAATGAGAGGGGAAGTTAAATGAGAAAATTCTAATAGATAGATGGCAGGTGAGGGTAACTTTTGAATAAGAAAATTACATAAATTTTTTAGGGATAATATATTTTATCTTTTAACTTGAATTTCAAATATTTTGTACAAAAAAATCAGGTTTATTTTTATTTGCAAGATGATATAGATTTTGATATACTTTTGAGAAGAAAAAATTATGTTAGTATTTTGTACATAAAATTTAAATTTTTTTGGTATAAAACCTTTTATACAAATTTCTCTACACAGATTTTCTCTGTTTTTTGTACGGAACTTTTATGTACATAGATGACGTACAAATCTTGCTCTTTTCAATTTGCAATTTCTCATTTTACTTTGAGTTTGGGTTGAGAAAATACAACATACCGGTTGAAAAATCGCAAAGCAAACCAAATCATACAGTTTGGTATGGATCGTAGAGCGTTAAAATGGTTTGGTTGGTGCATGGTCTATATTATAAAATGTATTGATCTCTTGGTCTGGTTTGATCTAGATCGCGGATTATCAGAAGCAACCCACTTTGCAATTCATCTTAGCGGTTCACTTGACCACTCTACCAGCTCATCAACGGACCCAAGTCTCAACCCTAATTTTTTGAATCTTGTCCCTCTCGTCATTCATAAATCATACTCTATCACAGAGTAGAAATGATCGTGTCTCCATATGACATGATGTTAATGTTATGACATTATGACAGAATTTGGGTTGCTCTCATTTTTGTGTTTTTGTTATTTGATTGGAATTCTTATATCAAAATTATGCACGCTTGTTAGGAAATATGTTTTAAGAAGAAAAAACTTTTTTCTTGGTTATTGATTTTATTTTGTGTGGTTAAATAAACAAACAATTCATTTTTCGCTCAATATGGTCTGCAAGGTCGAAATCGTACTGGACCAGACCGCACAAGCGTGAGTTGATCTAAATTGTGTACTATCTAGTCTGGTCCCTAGTCTATGTTCCAGTTTCTCGGTTTGGACCATATGCCATATGTATGATCTAGTCTGTACCAAATCGCTTCGTTTCACAACTCTACTCTGAGTTTATAATTTTTGTACATAGAGATTCTTCATTTCAAAATTTTCCCTCTCTACAGTATAGGAAAACCACATAAGAAGAAATAAAGGCCCAGTTTTGATCAAGATTTTCTGTGAAGATTTTCGCACAATCCCTCATGCAGTTGGATTTGGCAAAAAATTACCATTTAAGATGATGAGGGATTTAACATTATAGAATTCAGAAACCTTGATTGTGAGCTTTTGAAATAGCTTATCCACATCGGTTATTTCACAAACCCTCATATTTATTTCATTTTTTCCAAACTTTTGTTAGTATGTGATATAACATTCATTATTGAACATCTCACTACAATTCGAGTTATTGGGAATTGGGATCAACTGGTTCAGAGTCTTCTATTATTGGGATCAACTGATCGCCATAATTGAACCTGTGCAATTAGAGTCTTCTCTGACCAAGAGTTCTTTTGTACGAATCCCAATGATCTTCATGTGTTCTGTTAATCAAATGGTCCGGGCCTGTGCAAACTTGAAGCCTATATGAGTCTTTCGGTTGATGGGGCATGTTAGTAAATGACATATGATCCATAATTGAACCTCTCCCAACAACTCGAGTTATTGGGATCAACTGATTCTTCACATGGTATCAGAGCCTTCGGTGACCGAAATGTCTGCTGTTTGAATCCTGACGATCCCATTTGTTAAGCACATGGTATTCGGACTTGTACAAACTTCAAGCCCATATCTGATGGCTTTCGGTTGAGTAGGTGTGTCAATAAGTGGTATATGATCCATGATTGAACCTCTCCCAAAAACTCGAGTTATTGTGATCAACTGGTTTTTAACATGGTATTAGAGCCTTATGTGACTGCGAGGTCGTATGTTCGAATCCCCATGACTCTCGTTTGTTAACACATGGTATCCATACCTATGAAAACATCAAACCCTTATGAGTGGCTTTCTTTTGAGGGGGCATGTTAGTATGTGATATAAGATTCATTATTAAACCTCTCCCAACAACTCAAATTATT